AGGTTATCTTAAAATCAAAGGATGATGGAGTTAAAAGAGATGAAATATTAGAGGTTCTTGAATGAAATCTTGGAATAGAGTTCATATCTAGAATTGGAAGTTAAATTTGACTTGTCATCAATCTAGTTAAGACATATTAAGGGTTAGAAGTGGAATTAAATCATGTTGCAAACTTGGTATAACTCTTGGATTTCACAAGGAGGATAGGATTCTGAGGTTTAAGATGAAATAAATGAGTATAGATTGGTTTAAGTATGTGTACTGGAGTTAAGAATATAAAAGTGGATGAAACATGAAAGATTTAAGCTAAAATGGATAAATTTTCGGGTTCAAGAAATGAATTCTGGGCAGAGTGCATCGGTGCACATTCAACGTGTACCGATGCATCAAGAGAAAATTCCAGAATTTATTGAAGGTACATCGATGCACATGGAGTATATCAATGCACTCATTTAAAATAAATGAACATCGAATGCCATTAGTGCATCGATGCATAAGGAGTGCATCGATGCACCTGCTTAAAATACAAACATCGAATAGGATTTATGCGCCGATGCATGGGTAGTGCATCGATGCATACCTTCAGTAAGAGATGGAAATAACTTTCTTTTAGCCTAAGGATTAATAGTTTGGAATATATCAATTCGTATGCTGATAAGTATCAATGTATTACTATATAGATTTAGAGCGTAATCTTATTCAGAACAATCGAAAATTAGAATCGAATCAAAGCAAGGCTAAGGTGAGTGCATTTTGTAGTTAAAGTGTATAGAGACAAGACTTGTGATAAGTCTATCTCTGATGGTTGAATTAATGATTCCATACCCATGTATATGCATACATATACTATTGTAATAGTGATTGCATGCATAATTCATTATATGTTCATATGACATTGAATGAACGAATATCATTGCCAGAGAATATAATCCAGGTAAGTGAAATAATGGAAAAGGTTATGGGTTTATATGAAAAGTGATGAAAGAGATATGAAATGAGAAATGTATTCATATTAAAGCCCATGTTATATGATACGAGAGCTATAGGTATAGTTGGCATGCCAAGAGTCGAGGGTATATTAGTCATTCGGGACGTATCAAGTGGTCCTTCGGGACGTATCCAATGGTCATTTTGGACGTATCCAGTGGTCCTTCGGGATGTATCCAGTGGTCCTTTAGGACGTATCCAGTGGTCTTTCGTGACAAATACTGAACAAATGTTCAGTGCCCCATAAGGAAATTTATTGAGCTGTGGTGACAGCATCAGTGCACAACCTCAATATACTCAAATACCTCTGTTCTCAATAATGTACACGGGCAATTGAAAGATAAATTAAGGTGAAAGTTATTCAAGAAGATAAGTTTCATATGTACATGACATGATTATATCGGTTATAGTGAAATATATACATGCATATTGAAATGTCATGATCAAATGGTAAGAATTCATATTCATAAATCTATAGCTACATGTTTATTTATTGTCTCGCTAAGTCTATGACTTAGCGTGTAAGTGATTTACACGTAGGTACCAGGAAACAAGAAGAGCAGTACTAGAAGTGGCAAGAATAGCATCACTACTAAAAGATCAGATCAGAAGTAATTGGCAAAGTAGGTATTTTGGGTTGTGTATAGAGTGTTGGCATGTAATAAGTTGTTAATTACGAATGCTCTGATCGATTTTGTATTTCATGATCTCTTTTATGTAAATTAACATATTTTGTTTTAATGATAGTTTAAAATTTCCATGTTTTTCTTTAAGTGACAAAGTTTGAAAAGTCAATGTGACACCTCGGACTCATATTCGGGTCCGATACGGGTTAGGGGTGTTACATACATATTCTGCCTCTGTTGTGGACGTAGCCACAACTGACTGCAATTTTGAAACCCAGCTTACAGCTCCATCAGCAACTTTGAACACATATCCTGTAGTAGATTTGCCTTTATCCAAATCCCCTACATAGTTAGAATTTACATACCCATTTATTAGTAAGTTTGATCCTCCGTAACATATTGCAATATTTGGGGTCTCTTTGATGTATCTCAGGATCCTCTTTACAGTATTCCAATGCTCTTTGCCTGGATTCTCCATGTACCGACTAACCACTCCCACTGCTTGTGCAATGTCTGGTCTTGTGCATATCATAACGAACATTAAACTTTCCACTGTTGATGCATACGATACTCGAGACATCTCCATCCCCTATTCTTCACTGCTAGGACTCATATTGGAGGATAATTTGAATTTAATAGGAAGAGGGGTAGAAATTGGCTTACAATCTTGTATGTTGAATCGTGATAAGATCTTCTTCAAGTAATTCTTTTGTGAAAGCCAAATCTCCCTATTACTTCTGTCTCGGTGAATTTGCATCCCTAGAATCTTGTTTGCTGATCCCAAGTCCTTCTTTTCAAATTCCCTAGCCAGTTGTGCCTTTAATTCTTCAATATGATCTTTGTTGGGTCTGCAATCAACATGTCATCCATATACAACATCAATATAACAAAATCGTTATCACCAGACCTCTTGAAATAAGCACAAGGGTCTGCATTAAGTCTATTGTATCCAAGGCACATAATGAAGGAATCAAATCTCTTATACCAACACATCGGCGCCTGCTTTAGAACGTACAAAGATTTATTCAACCTGCAAACCAAGTTCTTCTTTTCGTCTTCTTCAAAACCTTCAGGCTAGAGCATATAAATCTTTTCTTCAAGATTTCCATGAAGAAAAGTTGTTTTAACATCTAGCTGCTCTAGATGTAAGTTCAATGTAGCACACATTGCCAAGACTACTCGAACTGTTGTTAGTCGAACCACAGGAGAAAAGATTTCATTGAAATCAATACCGTTTTTTTGAGAATATCCTTTGACCACCAGTCTTGCACGATACCTCTCCACTAGATCATCACCATTTCTCTTGATTTTGAAGACCCATTCATTACCAATTGGCTTCCTTTCTTGTGGTAGTGGCACAAGGTCCGATGTATTATTTTTATAAAGGGTTTCAATTTCTTCTTGCATTGTCATCATCCACAGTGAAGCATTTGAGTTGTTTATTGCCTCCTGGTATGTTGATGGCTCACCGTCCTCTGTTAAAAGACAGTATGCAATATTTCCTTTTATAACATAATCTGAGTGCCAATTGGGACGTCTTCTCACACGATCTGACTAACGAGTTGTTGGAGCTTCAGAACTCTCTGGTTCTTTTCATCATGTGTTGGTTCTGCTTTAGAAGAATTTCCTTGTTCAACCTCCTTTTCCACATATATTGTGTAGTCTCTGACTTTTCAGCGCTATCATTGTCTTCTTTTCTTTGTAGCTTATCTTCTAGAAAGATAACATCCCTACTGATGATAACTTTGTGGGCAGTGGAATCCCACAAGCGATACCACTTTACTCCATCAACATACCCCAAGAATTTGCATTTCCTAGATTTTGGATCTAGCTTTAAAATTTCTTGGGAGTTTTACATCACGTACATAATATTTCCAAATACATGGAGGTTTGAATAATCAGCTGGTTTACCAGTCCACATCTCCATTGGTGTCTTCAGCTCTATTGTAGTTGATGGAGCTCGATTCACCAAATAACAGGCGATATTGACTGCTTGTGCCCAGAATGATTTTTCTAGGCCTGCATCCCTCAACATTGCTCATGTTCTTTCTAACAAGGTTCTATTCATCCGCTCTGCCACTCCATTTTGTTGAGGAGTGTTCACCAATGTGAACTGTCTTTTGATGTCTTCTTTCCTGCAAAAGTCATCAAATTCTTCGCTTGTGTATTCTACTCTATTATCTGTTCTGAAACACTTGATCTTATTTCCAGAATCAAGTTCCATCTGCGCTTTGAAGTTTTTGAAAGTGGAAAACACATATGACTTCTTCTTAATAGGATACACCCAACATCTCCTGGAGTAGTCATCAATAAATGAGACAAAATATTTTGCTCCTAGGGATGTAATTGGTGCTTGCCATACGTTAGAGTGAACCAATTCTAGAACACTTTTGCCTCTAGAATTTGATGTGTTGAATTTCAACCGGTGCTGCTTACTTGTTATGTAATGCTCACAAAAAGTAAGTGATACCTTTGTTAAGCTTGGAAGTAGCTTCCGCTCCACATGGACTTTCATTCATTGTTCTAACATGTGTCCAAGTTTTCGATGCCATAGCATTAGATAATATGAACTACATAAGGCAACAGAGGCTTCTGTTTCTAGTAAAGTCTCTCCCTTCAGCATGTACAAGTTTGCAGTTATCTTTTCACCTTTCAGCACCACAAGCGCTCCACATAACACCTTCATAATTCCTTTCCGTTTTTCAATCTTGCTTGCATTATTATCCAACAATCCATAGGATAATAAATTTTTCTTCAGGCCTTTTACGTGTCGCACATCTCAAACAACTTTAATTGATCATCATACATCTTCAATTTGATGGTTCCCACGCCAACGATCTCTAAGGCATAATCATTGCAACTATACACAGATCCTCCTAAGATAGGTTCATAATGATGGAACCATTCTCTTCTTGAGGTCCTGTGATATGTTGCTCCTGAATCAATGAGCCATATATAAGCAAATCTTTTTTTGCCTTCCAAAGTGGTTGACGCTTCACAACATTGAGCATCTCCATCATCTGAAGTGTTAGTGACATTGCCTTGTGGCTTGGAGTTTTTATTCAGACTCCAACAATCCTTATTCAAGTGACCTTTCTTTCCATAGTTATAGCACTTTAAATTATTCTTGCTTCTCGACTTTGATCTACCATGTTTGTGACTGCTGCTTTGGCCACGTTCTGTTGATCTCCCTCTCATCGTTGTCAATGTTTCTACTTATTGCAGATTTAATTGTTTGTCTTCCTTGTTCTTGCATCAATTTTCTTCTTGTAGAATAGCAACATCAACGTCATCGAAGACTAGACTAGTGACATTACTATTTGTCAAGTTGATGATTAGTTGATCATACGAATAAGGTAGACTTTGAAGTAGAAGTTCAGTACGTTCTTATTCTCCTCTTGTACTTTTGGTGGAAATGTGCAGCCAATTTGGAAATGTGCAACCAATTTGGAATTTCAACAGATTCTTGGCTTGCCTATCTGCTTTGCAGTTTAATAGCAGTTTCACCATATGTTTTATTATAAAAATTGTACAATTAATTAATCATGTATATGAAATAAAAAAGAGTCAATGTATCTTAATCATGAAAGTAGATGAGTCGAACCTCGAGTTGATTATTTCTAGAAGCCTATATAGCACAAGGACGGCATACCAGTCCCATTTCAAGTACCCAATATGTCCCTGGCACGGGGATAATATGGGGTCGTACCAGGGATATGCCACGGTGGTAGGATACAGTTGAAAAAACTCGGGGACGGTCGATCGGGATCTGGGGACATTTCGGGGATAGTATGTGACTATCACATGCATCCCCGGTCAGGAATACTCAACGAGGCCGACAGCTATAGGTCATCGGAAAGCTGTGTTCTTAGAGTTTTGGATTCCGAGGCGTCGCCGACTTTGTCACTGGAGATGGGACTAGGAAAAGGGAGTGTTTTATCTTAAGGGTTGTTTGACAAGGTTAGTGTAGAAAGTGGGAGAGATTTGGTTAGTAATAAAAAGGGTAGTTCGAGAAGAGATTGATGGTAGAAGCAGGATCCTAGAGTTGGGTCTAAGTCGGGGCGAGTTAAAGACTATGTAATGGAATGGATTGAGAATGAGATTAAAAAGGAAAGACCCAAAAATGAGTGGTTTGCTTCTCCAAGCTCAGTTATTAACATTAATGATTGCAAGATTTTGAGTTCGAGTGTTGAGCAGAAGAAGGAAAAGATTTGATGTGATCCAATTCAACATCATGGATATTCCACCCTTACAAGGGGAGAGACTTTCTAAGTTTACACATATATATGCTTATTTCAAATATTTTAATATAGTTATGTTCATCTACATATACTATATCTATAGTTATTATGATGATAACTTATCCATTAATATGTGAGATATAAGTTATCATAATATATTATAGTTCACATACTTATATTATACATTATATAAGTTTATATATACTTTGTTTATTTCTTTATGTTATACAAGTACGCACATTCGGCCAATACTTGGGAGCTACATTGAAGCTAAATGGAGCATGAAAAAGCAAAGATACTGACATGGAAACGATTAGGAGAGCATAAGGAGCAAATTGGTGAAAAGTTGTTTTGAGGACGTGAGCTCATAGCTGGATTGAGCTAAAGATTTGAGCTACAAGATGACCTCATTTCAGCTGGGGAGCTGAACCATCATCATCACCACTTAGGACACTTCAAATATGTCCTAAGTCAAAATTTGTGAAATCGTACCTTTTCGCGAATAGTTGCCAACTAAAGAGGTACCTTTTCACAAGGAGCTGTCATAATGTTCACCATGCTGCAAGTCACCTATAGGCAGCTCACCTTTAGCTCATTCACACCATAAGTAGCTCAAACATTAAGGGACACCTTTCTCAAACATTGTGATCTTTCATGAATGATGCTACCCATGAAGATGCCTTTACATCCAAAAGCATACTGATGAAGACATTGTAATCATTGTAGGTTTAAATCACCAAAGAACATGATATAAAGCTCCATGCCTATTCGACCACACACATGCCATGCACATGAGAGCTTTTGGCGCCAACATGAGAAGACACAACATCATTCAGCCAAGGGAGATGTTTCCTCATCATTGTCGAATCATTAAGCCCCTTCATGAAGGGTTAGCCGAACCATCACAAGCCCAAAGGACTTAATCATTCATTTAAAGCATTATGTATCTTCCTAAAGTCATGTATCTAGCCGAAAAATTATGTAACCATTTGGCCAAGCCCTCTCATTTCCTATAGATAGAGTGGCTTGCCATCATTTGTACTTATCTCATCTCTTATATAAAATATACTCTTGTGAGTTATTTCTCTTCAAAGTTCTTTGTGAACTTTATCGATTAAACAAGTATAGTTCCTATACTTGTGGCGTCATTCCTTCTATCTTGATTCCTAAATTCCTAGATTGATATCTAGTGGGTTGAAGACATTATCACCACCCCTCAAGCAAGTTTGTGAAGAATTATGCTTCATAGCATAGTTTCCTCTTTGGCATGTTTGAGATACAACATCACCACCATTGCCATTTCATCATCAACATCATCCATCTCTTCCATCAATTCCGCACCATCTCTATCCTTTCTTTATTTCATTTCATTCTTATTCTTTCATTTCATTACTTATATTATTATTCCCTTTATTAAGTCCATCATTAATCATATTTCCTTTCTTATTTTGTGCAGCCCAAGCTTATAAATTCAAGGACATCAATACTTGTCAATCCTAGATCGGGACACAATAAGGCTATCTACATCTCTCCATCAAAGCGTGTAGATCAGCCTTACATCAAGCGGTAATCAGAGCATAGTTGGATTGACAACAAAAGTGTCATTGGCAAAAAGAAGTTCAAAAGAGGAAAAGACTCCTTCAACAAAATTGGAGTGCAAAAAGAAAAGAAAAGACAAAACGAAGAAAATCAGAAAAGAAGAAAAGAAAAGTCAAAAAAAAAGCAAGCCAATGAAAGTGCTCTATCATTGCAAAGTACATCAAAGTGGTCATCTACACTGAGAGAATATAACCTTATTGTTTCTTGAGAAAGGTTGCAGTAAGTGTTGTTTCTTGAATTGTAAGTCACCTCTTCCTTTTCTATCCTTTCATTTTCCTTGTCTTTAACCATTTCTTTCTTTTAATACCTTTAAATCCTTTCTTTTACCTTTTCCATTTCTTCTATTCTTTCTACCCTAACCTATTTGCAGCCGACACACACAAGGAAGAAATTAACTTGTTATAATCTTGAGTAAGTTCCTCAAAGGACTTAGCAAGATGAATTTGAGTGGAAAAGGCTATTGAGAGAGTGAGATAAGAAGGATAATTTTTAAAAGCCATAATTATATTCTCGAGAGTAAACACGAGTGTTGAGTGGAGTGATCTTATCTTTTCTTTGGAGTGAATTTGTGAGACTTTGTGAGTGTGCTGGTAAGGTTTATTTTGTTTTATTTACTAACCATGTCTCAAAGTCCTAAAGGAAATGCAGGTCAACCCAATTTGCAAATGCAAGCACTGATTGGAGAAATGATGAGAATATTTCGAACAGAATTTGATGCTCTCTATGAGAATCTAGACCAAAGACAAGATCAACCTCAAACCAGAAACAATGATACTCCTCGGAGGCAACAACCTCTTCTAGAAGATGATGTCCCAAATCCTTATGATGAAGAAGAACCAACATTGATACAAGGACCCAGGCGTGCCAATGTTGATGATAACATGAGCAACATAAAAATCAAGATTCCTCAATTTCAAGGAGAAACTGATCTGGAAGCATATCTTGAATGGGAAAGCAAGGTGGAACATGTTTTCAGTTGCCATAACTATTCTGAACTCAAGAAAGTAAGATTGGCAGCCATGGAGTTTGTTGATTATGCTTTGATATGGTGGGATCAACTTACTATTACTCGGAGGAGGAATGAAGAGAGACCAATTTCAACATGGCTCGAAATGAAAGGTATCACGCATAAACATTTCATTCCTACTCATTATCATCGTGACATGTTTCAAAAATTACAGAACCTAAAGTAAGGCCAAAGGAGTGTAGAGGATTACTATAAGGAAATGGAAGTGGCAATGATCCGAGTCAATATTGAGGAGGATCGTGAAGTAACCATAGCTCGATTTCTTGTCAGACTTAATCTCGAGATTGCCAACACACTAGAGTTGTACCATTACATAGAACTTGATGAAATGGTGCAAATGGCTATGAAAATAGAGAGGTAACTACGAAGAAGATCTCGCACTACCATGCCTTCGAGATGGAGTCCTAACAATTTGAAGAAGTATACTTCTACTCCTATAAAATAGGTCGAATCCTCAAATGCTTCCCAACTCAGCAAGGATAATCGAGGAAACGAGATCCCTGAATGATCAAGAGACATATGTTACTTTAAATGTCTTGGGAGGGGAATGTATCCACACAATGTCCCAACCAAAACACCATGCTACTACTTGGAAATGGAGAGATTGAATCTGACCATGAAGAAGAAGAAGCGCCACCACCACCAACAGAAGTTGAGGAAGAAGCCGAAATTGGTGCTCCGGTGGAAGGTGAAGCCCTAGTGGTCAAAAGAAGTCTAAGTGCTCAAGTGGTAGAAGACAATGCACAACGGGAAACCATCTTTCATACACACTACCATGTGAATGAAAAGGTGTGTTTCATGATCATAGACGGTGGAAGTTGTACCAACGTGGCAAGTACCATTATGGTGGAGAAATTGGGATTAAAAACGTTGAAGCATCCAAGTCCCTACAAATTACAATGGTTAAATGAACGAGGAGAACTTAATGTCAAAAAACAGTTGATGGTTCCTTTCTCCATTGGTAAGTACAAGGATGAGGTTATGTGCGATGTTGTTCCTATGCATGGTAGTTATTTACTCCTTGGAAGACCATGTCAATATGATAGAAGGACCATTCATGATTGTTTTACCAATCAGTATTCATTCAACCATGGAGGGAAGAAGATCATCCTAACACCCTTGACGCCTAAACAAGTCCAAATTGATCAAATCAAGATGAAACAAAGTGTTGAGGACATGAGGAAAGGAAAATCGAAGTTAATAGAGGAAGAAACCAGCCCAAAAAAAAGTGCTTGTACATCTAAGTGCTTGTCACAAAGATATAGTTATTTTAAATATTTTAATATAGTTATTTTCATCTACATATACTATATCTATAGTTATTATGATGATAACTTATCCATTAATATATGAGATATAAGTTATCATAATATATTATAGTTCACATATTTATATTATACATTATATAAGTTTATATATACTTAGTTTATTTCTTTATGTTATACATGTAGGCACATTCGGCCAACACTTGGGAGCTACATTGGAGCATGCAAAAGCAAGGATACTTACATGGAAACGATTAGGAGAGCATAAGGAGCAAATTGGTGAAAAGTTGTTTTGAGGTCGTGAGCTCATATCTGGATTGAGTTGAGGATTTGAGCTACAAGATGACCTCATTTCAGCTGGGGAGTTGCACCATCATCATCACCACTTAGGATACTTCAAATATGTCCTAAGTAAAAATTTGTGAAATCGTACCTTTTCGTGAATAGTTGCCAACTCAAGAGGTACCTTTTCACAAGGAGCTGCCATAATGTTCAC